TGAGCTTCTTCTCCGCCGCCGCCTTGTTCTTGCCCATAAAATGGGGGTCCGGTGACAATAAACTTCACACGCAACAAATGTCTTTATTAACTGTCGACTCAACCTCTACCGACCCTGATGCCGGATACTAAGGAGAGTGCCGTCGTAATAAAAGAACACCTGAGCGATCACTAACTCAACACTAGCCGCCGTGAAAGGTCGCAACTGAACCTTCGCCTGAGCTAGATAGAGTAACCTTACAACCTACGAGCTATGCCCCTGGAAGTAAGTCCTTGTTGTCAACCGTGAGTGCTACCAACTGTAGGGAGTTGATAACGCAGAGGAAATTGTAAAACTGATTGATTGGCGTTATCTACATCTACATGCATGACTACTCTGACTATACTATATCTAATGCTATACATACGTGCGCTCTGCAGAAGGAACTTCTGGTGTCCATGGCTGAGCACGCCGCACGCCAATCGAGCTTGGTCGTAAACCGACGTCAACAGTGACGTCTGTTCTGATTGGTCGATAACCCTACGACGCCACTGGAGTGACGTCGCTACATCAGCTTCTACAACAAGTCCGACTTGGCCTTCCTGGAGGGTCGCCATGACTCTGCAAAGTACAAGAACACACTCCGTGGCTACATGATTCCTTCGTTGCGCGAGATTGCCCGCGCGACAGATGGTGGCGATGCGATCTTTCAACAAGATAACGCCAGTATTCACACTTCCAAAGTGTCAATGGATTGGCTCGATGCCCTGTCATGGCGTACTATGCAGTGGCCTTCGAAGAGTCCTGATTTGAACCCAATCGAGAACGTTTGGGGCCTTCTTGCTAGAAAGGTGTATGCAAACGGGCGGCAGTTCGAAACAAAGGAGAGTTTGAAGGCGCAAATCGTTCGTTCATGGAACGAAATCGAGCAGAGCTATTAGCAAGGGTTGATCGAAGGTATGCCAACTCGCATGGCTCAAGTTGTTCTGCGTCGCGGTAACTGCATCGATAAATAATCCAACATTTGACAGTGCGTCTATAATTAGTGGTCAGCCCAAAATTTGAAAAACTGCGATTCTATGATTTCCATGGATCTGTTGAAGCATTCCGCTTGAGGGATACTCTCTTATGGTCCTCTGAGAGTAGGGGATCATGCAGCTGAATGTGACAATGAATTGTCGAACTCGAAAAATTCAGGTGCGTCTATAATTTCTGGTCGGACTGTACTGTACATATTTGCTGTCATGACTTGCGCGTCATACAGTGCGCGACATCACATTAACAGCCACCATACAATTGTATTCTAAAATTCAGCCAATGCAAGCTCTGTATTTCTAGTTTGAAGCATTCGATTCGTCAAAGAATCGAAACTAATCGAACCAATCAGATTATGGATAGCACACCATTGATTACAAAATCTCAGTATTAGTTGCTACTACGTAGTAGTATTTTACGCCCCAGAACTACAGTTCAACGGTGGATGTGTGCACTCTCATTAGATAGCTTTTGGTGATTTTTCATTGGCTAAATATCACATTCATTGTAGCGGACATGTGAATGAATATGTGGTTAAGAGTACAACTATTTTGTTTGATTTGTGCTCACTATACCTTAGTATTGATCCTTTATGTCACTGACAAAAAGAATAAAAGTTGAAATACTATTATGTGGCTTTTCGTATGAATTAATTATCTGAACTTCAAATATACAAAGTACTTGACAGTTAACTGTAAATATACAAAGTACAGTTAATATCGATATCGAAATTTCCATGGCACCCCAACGACCTTGCTTTTTTTGCTGCGTCCCTGCGCGCAAGAACAAGCGGACCATGGAGGCTACGTTCATCAAGAGTCATTTTGACTCCCAGCACAAGGACCTTTCTTGGGGGCCGCTTACACGCCGCCACTTCACGAAGAAGTCTTCGGGTCCCGACGAGCCGCACCAATTCCCAACAGCAAATGCGGCAGCCGAATCAGCATGTCCGAAATAGTGAAGAGGACCTCCACGAAGGCGCCCTAGATCCTTTCCCGGCTTACGACGGTCGCACCGTCGAAAGCTGCAACGAAATCCTCGCTTATTTGCATTCCAAGCCCAAGAAGCAATGTGAAGACGGCCTGGCGCGCATGCTTATGTCCATTTGTGATGCCCTGTCATTGGCACTTGGATTAAACGCCGATGACGTTCGCGCTTTCAGTGTGCCTGATGACGACGAGGTAGTGGCGCCTGCTCGAGGTCAACGTCATTGAGCATAGGCCTTTGATTGAAATAGCATGGATAGTTTCCTGAACACATTGTATCAATATTTAATATGTTTACAAAAATATGGATACAGATATACACATGTATCGATATTCGATTATCGTACAATTGAGTCATGAATACACAGTAGTTGTACACGTGTAACTGTATGTACGATTAATTACACTAGAAGACTTGAAGATAGCTTTACACTGTAGCTGGAGTAGCTACAACAAAATACTTGGAGAAAAATCGAAATCGCCTAGATTTTTACGCGAAGTGTAATTCTAACTACGTACGAAGTAGTACTTAGTACGAACGGTAATCATTCATTGCGTGTATTTGAATAAATGTAACATTAACAAGGGCTCAATCATGTACTAGTCGTAATATCTTGTTAATGGGTTGTCTTTTGTGTTTGTGACTTTCCCCTTTCCTCGACTTTCGCATTCCTTGCTGTTTTCCATATACAGCTGGACTGGTCGAAGCAGTCGCACGCACACATTGAACTGCCTTTCGTTTGATGTCATTTTGACCAAACGAGCTTGCATTGCAGCCATCTCTATTCCACGAGCAAGTGACGTGTCTTGAACTCGCTGTGCCATTGCGTCCAGATCCTGCAGCATGTCAACATCGAGGGCATAAACACACTCAGGACGTTTCTCGTTGGCCGTCGTGGGTAGGGAGGGTGGCTTGTTTCCCGAGTTCCAATGCGATCATGTATGTCATTACACGATGGTGGAAAGACATAAAACGGCGGGATGTACAGGCGAACCTTCCAGTATGGCGCAAATGCCTATACATACGTAGCGAAACATGAGCAAATGAACATACGTAGCAGAAGATAGACACATGTACATGATTTGCTGTACATCAGTACAAGTATTATACATCAGTACTGGAGAACAGGTAAATGCATGCTAATATATGTTGTCAAGTATGCTGTACCTCGTGTCGACTAGAAGGGGGTTTGCTCAACAGATTGTAGAGCGCAAGCAAGTTCTTACATGTCATGAATTCGTTATGTGAGTTGTCAGCGCACCAGCAGGTCCATGTCGCGAGGTTCGTTTCGTACTCGGGTTTCAGTTGGACTGTATTGCCTGAGTGGTTAAAGTTGATTTCCCACGAAGGACTTGGACAGTATCCTGAGTATAGAAACAAACGTATATGTATTAACGTGAAGATATTTTTACCGTATGCACAAACCACGTGATGTCGTTGCCCTTCCAAACTTTGCAACAAAATGATCTTGCACGTCGGTAGCTAGCTTGTAGCAGAAGAGGTCAAGGTGCGCGTTCCCATGTGCCTACACGTGTATTATAAGAAAACGACGGCGTTAAGCTAGTATTATCCAATAAAAGTCCTTCAGTGCATGAAAATGTGCTTCGGCGATCATGGATGTTCGGAAGCAGGACAATGACGCAGCTTTGGATGACTGCGCCCCACAATTTCCACCCACCCGGTGCGTACTAATTATTGTGTAAGTACACGAATAGGTGGCGAGCTGTGGTTCACGCTGTACTCGGATGCTTCTCTCACTGCGCAACAGTAGATGTGCGCCGCGCGCTCCTCAAGGAACATATTTCGTTTCTATCGTATCGAACATATGTATCCATCAGCATGTTCGGGTACATCAGTTTACAGTTTACAGTCTCCGGGTTTCGGGGTTTCTACATCTGTTTAAGTACAATTACACAATTCAAGTACAAATGTACCTGTGGCCACGTAAGGGGATGTCACTTGAAGTGTTTCTTCATCATGTTTCGAATGTTCGCTGAATGCTCCTCGCGACCTCGAAAGGTGTCGGTACCTCTGATCGATTCGGAAACGTGTCATGGTAGCAATCCAAGTTGGTGATTGTGCTGTCGCAGGTGAATTGGACCAGTTCGGAAAGGTCGATTGCTCTGAAAACCGCTTAACAATCGCACGGTCCAGATGCCACAAGCACAACTGGATGTTCGCGTTAGGCCAGGTCGCTTGGATCGCATCAATCTCTGCCACGTCCTTGTCAATGTGAACCCACGATGGCTTCAGTTTAGTCGCAGCCGACACCTTCGACAACCATTGCTGTATGTACATCGGTTTCATAACACGTACCAACGACGCCTCAAGGAGTGCAGCCACTGCAAGTTCATGAAGCGACAGCACAGCCCCAACCTCAGCAAGGCGTACAAGGTGGCTAGTCTGGAATACGCGAAACTCAACATCGCGAATCCTCCCAATTGGAACGAAATTATTTGGTCCGACGAATAAAAGTTCAATCTCGATGGACCAGATGGACTTGAATCCTATTGGCACGATTTGCGAAAGGAACCTGACGCGTTCATGACGCGAGCGATAGGCGGTGGCGGTGTCATGATTTGGGGTGCCTTTTCCGGTGCTGGGAAGTCGCGACTGGCTGTTCTGGATGGTCGCCAAGTCTCGGACGCATATATCGACACGCTTGGAAAGTATTTGTTTCCATTTGGGCATGAGCACTACGGCGACAGCTTTGTATTTATGCAAGACGGGGCGACTATTCATCGCTCCAAAACGCGGCGCCATTTTGTGGATGATGAAAATATCGTTTTGTTTGATCACCTTGTACTCTCCCCAGACCTCAACCCTATTGACACCTTGTGGGGCATTAAACTGTACTTACATGTCATGTCTACGCAAAAACAGAGCTCATTTTGGCTATTCAAGAAGCGTGGTTGCATTATACCGTGTATTGCTATTGGTGTACATGTACTTTATCATCGAAACACTTGTACAGAAGCTTTATTTGACTTTGATTCGCACTGATTTAGATTACGATGTACATCAAGAGCTTCTCAAAAACACACACACCGTCCCACATCTCGTCCCTTGTGCGCAAGGGAGCTCTACAATCACAAGAACAACTTCCATCGTATCATCAAGTTGCCCATAAAGGTTTACATAATGAATTCCGTTGAAATATATAGTGTCTTTATCGCTGGCATAGAGCTTACACGACACCTTCAAGAGTGAAAAAGATCCGTATTCCTCCGCGCTGACGTTTTGCGCCAACTTCGAGAACGTCTCGAGTGTCGAGATTCGTTTACACACTGCGGCAGTGCTAAACCCTGTAAAATGCTTTTAAATCGTCCTGGACTGTGTTTTGGAAGCGTTTAAGTACAAGTTCGGGGTAGACGATCTCCACTTCATCAAGGAAATCTGCATTGACAGCACCCAACTCAAGCAAGATGGAGTTGTTCGCGATGTTGATCAACTTTTGTGTGCAAGGCTACCCGCTATCCTATATGTTTATTCAACAGAGCGGTGTGTGTGTTAGTCTTCTCCTCTTCTGATACCCTTGTACAGTGTAATACTGTAGTACCTCGTATCAGTACTTTGACACCGAAATATATGTTTAGGTACAAGTATCAAGTTTGAGGTACCACTGCAGCTTGCTGGCTGAAGATCCAGTGACAGAAGCTTGGCACAGCAGGAGACGACATTCGCTACCCATAATTTTCTTCCTTCCTGGCGCCTTGAACTTGCTTCCTTATTCTCGGGGCCCTTGAGGAATGTTCGAACAACGTCTTTTGACCTTCCAATCTCGCGTGTGATATTTGGGTTAGACAAACCAAGCCGCTCAAAGGCCAAGGCTGAGCCTCGCTCTCAGGCGTTAGTCTTGCTTCTTTTCCCATTCTATAGGTTGAGTTTTATATAGGATTCGAGTCGATGCATGCTACCTGAGATACTAGAACGATTTGTGAGTTGTTCAGGTAAAAACAGTTCAATTGTGATGGATTATCTTCAGTGGCATTATTGTGCTGTGTTGCATCATTTATACCGTGTTCGGAGCAAAAAATAATTCTGACCCCAGAATCCGGATTATGATAATCTAGGTTTTTGAATACGGCTTATGTCAAGTTGCACCGGGCACGATTGGAAGTCTGCATTTTAGAATCCACCGAATCCAGAAAAGTCACAAGAATATCGTGGATGCGAGTTGCAGCGACTTCGTAGGGGATTTTGACGAACACATTGAGTTATGCAAGAATGAGATACAAGTAGCTTGTTATCGACTTGTACAAGGATGAGATGCAAGTAACTGCGGGTATCTAAGTTAACGTAGCTCTTGTCAGTTGCATACACATCAGGTTTTGCCCCAGCGAGTGCGGAGCCCATTCTGCGCTGCGGGAATATAATTCATCTCCCACGAAGATGAATACGGTCTTAACTGGTTAAATGGATGGCGAAGAAGCACCATGAGATGACCACTAGGTCACATGTGGTCACGGATGCGACGTTCCTTTCATCACTGTCAGTACTCGGAGATTAGAATTAAACACCCCGAAAATACCAAACTCCGAATACATCAATAGACCATTTGACCAATGACCGAGAACTTCAAGAACTATATTCCACTTTCCACGACCCACTATATCAAAATCCGAATACATTCGTCACAGAGCGGAGATTGACTGATTTTGGAAGTCAACGAGTAAACAACGAAGGTAAACGCCGATTTCGATGGTACAGTATAGTGTATTTTTGGAAGTTAACGTGTCAAACACCAGCAACAATATTATTGCATATTACAGCTGTACACTCTAATCAAAAATCCCACTGCCATCGGGATTGTCGTTACCGTAATGACCAAAGTCCTCGGGAGGTGGCAGAAGGGACAAACGCTGTTTACGCCTATCTTGAGACTTCGTGGTTGGAATAGTACGATTGCCCTTGGCCCGCTCCCCAATTACAAGAAGACGATTTACATACCTATTATGGTCATGTTCATCGTCCTCTCGCAATGGTAAAAATTTAATATGAACGTTAGTCAATGCTACACAGGCCTGAAAGAACATATTATAAATCTCCCGCTTCCATGCATACTTGTCGCTGGCAATAGACCACAACCTCTTGAGACGGCAATGGCATTCTACTTCACCAGACGCTTGTTCACTGCCCAATCACATTGTGCTTTTGAATTGTAGATCTCGAAATAGTAGAATGGAAAAGTACTGGACAAAAATTCAGTCATTGGTTTAGTGGCCTAATACAATATATTTCTGACAACAGAATACTACTAGTACTATACTAGTACTACGTACTACTCTGGCCAACAAGAATTGTCACATTTGGTAGAATATAGTTCAATTTGATGTTTATCAACATTTGTCGTAGTATTTCTGTAGTGGCCTTATTGTTTTGTCGCAGCTATATAATACAGAAATGCCAATGTTCAGTCTCTCGAATTCGTTTATAACGTAGGGCACCAGTCATCGGCAAAGACATCAGTCATCGGCACTGTTCTAAGCCAATAGAAATACCCGAATACCTCTTATTGGTCAAAATGTAGTTCTTCAAGAATTAGTACCCCTTATAAATTAGAGGTTGGACCAGTCAATTTTGTGTTGATCATACAGAAATCGTTACTGTAGCAGTTAATACCCATTCTAAACACATATTCCTTTGATAGCTAATATGATGACAGCATCCCGCGAACTAGAGCGTGGAGGATTCAATACATTACACAAGTCTAAAACGTGTGCCGATGACTGGTGCCCTACAAAAAACGCTACTTTTGAAAATCCTTACTGCACGTGTTTACTATTGAAATTGATATCCTTTGAACCTCAATTCATGAGCTGAATCTTGCGGTTATTTTGATATTTGTATCACCTCAATATGTGTTGTAGTCAACGAGAAATCGACGAACAAAGTAAGCATAAAGCGATGCTGATGACTGGTGCTCCACGTTACTGCAATTTGTCGCAATACCAGCGCAATTAATTCTAAATTCACATACATTGTCACAGTACAAAGCATTTCTATGCAGGAGAACATACATCAATCTAAAATGGGGAGGCTTTAATGTGATGTCGCGCATTGTACTTATTCGCTCTCTGTATGCAATGAATTATTCATTCCCCCGCCCACATGAATAATTTACTTGAATTATTCAAGTATTATCAAGCGGGATTAAGGTGCGTACTCAACGGAGAGCATCATTTCTTGAACGTCTTCAATCGTCCAAGGTTGATATTGGCATGCAAAAATACTTGCTCCTCGAAATTCTTCAGAGTCATGCTGCAGCACCGGTCTCCGATGGCCAACTCGGGCAGCGAAAAAAAGCGCTTACATATATTGGACGCAAGAACCGGCAATCTATGAGCTGCTCGCTATATTCACGCGTGCCATCTTGCTTTTCTTGAACGCCCGCTCGGCCGATACATCACAGGAACCGAAACGTACGTCGCGATGAATTCGGTTTCTTCAACGTTCTGCAGCTTGACCACGCTTTCACGATCTTCATTTGTCATCGTTGTCTCGTTGCCAGTGGTGACCATAAAATATTTTCTCATGAATATATTCATTTTTCGTAGAAAAAAGTGCATTCTTTCTATTGTGACGGTGGAGAAAATGAATAACTTATTTCTATAACAATCAGAAATAGGTTATTCGAACTTAATGTGATAAAAAAGTATTGGTTGTGACAGAAATAATTTGTGGTTACTACGACACTTGAGTTCAAAACCACTTATAGATATGGATGGTTATCAGTCACGAACAAAAAAGTGAAAACGTATTATCCTCATATATCTTTTTGATGAACATTGCCAACAGCAACATACTACGCGGCCGCCAGCTCGCCGAGCCTTTCTTTACTCGGAATGCTCTTGCCGGTACGAACTGGACATGTCGGCGTGGTGCACGATGTTCGCAGAAAGGGAGTGGGCACACCAACCTCGTTTCGCATATCTCGCATATCACCGCCGACCACCCCGGGTATGTTGCGTTTGATGTCACCAACCCCCCAACGCCTCCGCTCTCTCTGAGATCATGGTCCTACGACACGTGCGTACAGCGCTTGGTTGGCCGAATTGGATTGCGTTGTGTTTGCTACCGTTTTTGTTTGTGTCAAATCCAACCGTCCGCCGCTTCGCCAACTTGGACTCACAGTCAATATCTCGTACTTCGTTCATGAAGTACATACATGCACGGACTTAGTGCTCACGTCGAGAAAAAGGTGGCTCTTCTTCTACCTGAGAAGTTCGCCCTTGTGTTCGATGGTTGGTCGTGTGGCTCAACCCATTTTCTTGCTCTGTTTGCGTCCTACCCGTCCAGCGATGTAATTGGCTACTCTCGAGTACTACTGTCTTTTGCACCAATAAACGAGGAGGAATCTCTAAGTGCGGCTGCCCACGTGGAGTTTACTGAGTTTGTCCTGGATTTGTATGGGAAGTCCTGGAGCAATGCCATCGCACTTATCGGAGATAAACCCCGGCAAGTCGTGCCTTTTATTGGATGCGCCAGCCACCGGCTCAACCTCTTTGTGTCCGACATGCTCACCAACCACGCGACTGTTATTGACAAAGTCAACGCTCTTATGACCACGCTTCGTTTTACCCTGCCGGGCGCTCGTCTGCGTCGTGCGATTACATTAAGTGCAACACGCTGGAGTTTGACGTTCAACATGTTGAAACGGTATATTGAGCTTAAGCCATTTCTATTGGCTATTGCTGACGACACAATCGACGTGCTACGACTCAATGTGGAGGAAGATCGCGAAGTGACGGCCCTGCTACTAACTCTGCAAGACCTCGACTCGATCATGCTAGCTTACAAGTCGAATAATGCTCCCTTTTGGACGTGCACCAAATCCTCGATACGGGTATCAAATACAATCTGGATACGGCGGGTCATTTGGGTCCGGGCGCGCGGGTGGTCAAGAAACGAAGTTTTGAGAACGGCGTTGTCAAGATCCTATACTTGAATAATCCAAGTTACTACGCAGTAAGCGTGAAGCTCACATGATTTTGGCCATGCGGTCATATGTAGATGCATGTTGGATTACTCTACCTCGACCTATCCGTATTCATGGACTAGTGCCACCGCTGAGGGATGCCTCGACGCAGACAAACTATTATACCTCGGTCATTCCATGTCCAAAACCACTCATTCTTGGACTGGTGTCACCGCTGAGCGATGCTCTCATCGGTGGTATCAGTCGCACATACACAGAGACAGACTACGTCCGTGCCGAATACCTCCAAACACACACTACTATGTGCATTAACAATGGTGAGCACTTTATATTCTGTAAGGCTATATATGCACTTCATGCCGTGGATCGGTTGGCTTCTTCGCCGCAGGAGTGATGGATGCAGGTGCAGCAGCGGCTTTGTGCTTGGACACTCTTTTCTTTGGCGCGGTAGGACCTTGGGTCACATTGAATTCCGTTGTCGTTGCTTTGGCTACTTCAGACACTAATGTGGATGTCGCTACCAATGAAGGGCGCACCGCGTTCGATGATCCTTGAACCTTCGCCTTGAGCACTTCACCACGTTCTGCTTGCGTCTGTAAAAGTGGTTCTAAGTCGGGAAGAGGTAATCCCAATGCAAAATACATCGGAGCAATCACTGGTACATAAAATGCATATTCCAAGTTGGTAGTTTCGCTACTACCAGCTCGATTTCGGCCTATTCAGACGTTAGAGTATCAAAACAAATGAGTCGCCACCTTGTTCATCGCCGCATTGGTTGTGTCACGACTTCGCGTGCGAAAGAAGTCTGTCCGTACGACAAAAAAACCACATCCTCACCGTTGACATGCGACTACAAGAGTTTCGGGTCGACACGCTTTTGGCTCGGATTGAAGGCAGGCCATTTACAATCGTAGGATCAAGTGTTTCAGAAACTTCAAGATACTAGAATCAGATGAGCCTAAAAGCAAGTGAACACTTCAAACTACCGTGGGTACAACCTTGTCGTACCTTTCCCGACGGCAGAATTTGTGACAGGCGATCACACCAAACAAGTTGTATTGACAAAGCGAGGTGCTGCCCAAGCAGTGCACGATGCTTTCGTTGGTGGTGTCGATATCGATGGCAATGTATCGTTAGAAATTTGACATATAGTTCTACATCATTGCAAGTCGGTTCACGAGTCTCATTATAGCAGCAAATTCGTCAGCGAGGTGGGCAAAAAAGAGATGTTCGGAACGAACGTAGGCAAGTCGGTCTGTCGCTATCTATGTGGGAATGGTACCACCGCTGAGGACATCCTTCAGCGGTGACACCAGTCCAAGAATGAGTGGTTTTAGCCAAGGAATGGTCGAGCTATAGTAGTTTGTGTTTGCAGTGATCGCGACGTGCGTGGAGAAGACATACTGTGGAGATGGCGAACTGAACATTTCCTACCGAACGGCTCAGATTATTTGTGATCAATATATCCACGTGTGAATGCTCCACCACACGCAAATACTTATCTACGTGTATGCACACCATTACCACATGTATGCACACCATTTTTGTAACTGCACGTGTAAATATACCAAAAACCACGTGCAAATATGCTTTTCCCCACAACATCCATGTCCATAACTCAGGTTGTAGAGTGATTCTGTGGCAGCAAAATGGCTCGATCAACTGACCTGATCAAGTTATGTAATGTAATATATATGTGAAGTGTATGTATGCCCCGGAAGTGCTCGAAATGGATGGGTCCAGGGGACCACAACAATTATGTCCGTAACTCAGGCTGCAGAGTGAATCTGTGGCGTATTATGGCTCGTTCAACTGGCCAGGGGCAGTGCTGTAGTGTAGTATGTGAGCGGAGGATATGTCTGCCAGAAGTAAGTGAGCTACATATCTTGACCTGGACGCATTCATGGCCATCGCCAAACACAATATTGTGAGTAACGACATCATCCTCCATGTCGACAGAATGACCAAGTGTGAAACGACCAGGTAGTATGTTATCATTTGCTACTTCGGAAGTATAATATTGCAATACTATGAAGTTCATTTGGGAACGTTGGTTGTACCACAGAAAAAAACATGTAACTTAACGTAACCTATTCAGTAACTGTTGGGTAGTTTTTTACAATTTGCTACTCCAAAAGTATACTAATCGTCGATGTTAAGAAAACTCAACATGTCCAATATCATCGTTGCATCCATGACCGCGTTTCGCCACGTTCATACGCTACCAAGTGCCGAGTTTCCCTCGTTCCGACTTACACTAACGTTACCTGGCTTTGGTGTATCACATTCTAACAGCGAAACATGCACATTAATGCCAATCATTATTGTATGTTTTACTCAAAATTTCCACGGGCTGATCTTAATTCGCCCCGAACGGAATGTCCGCGAAATGAACTAACAGTTGTCAAAGACAAAAAGTGGAATTTTCCTCACAAAAAATCGATAATAGTCACCCTATTATGACGCAGTTTCGTGAGCTGAGTCACTGGACGAACTAATCTTGCAGCACTAATACCTGAGCGCGTAGGCCTCGTATACGAGTCTCTCCGCATCCCCAGCACACACGTACACCGAATGTACACATAGGCATCTCAAGTACACCAACTGGACGCCCGCGCTACCGCAGCGTGCGACTACACCTCGTCGTACTGCCCAGGCAGTTGTGAAAAACTGAGTTTGATGTCCATTTTCTGCCCAAATAATCGAAATTCTATCCAATCATCAGTATCATCGCGGCTATTTGTTGGCGATTTTCACAATGGCTTACAATATCTTCTCATGTCACCAGAGTTCAACTTGATCTATATTAAGGTCGCCACAGTGTTGGCATGGCTTGAATGTGTTAACATGTAGGACCTATTTTATTATACTTATATTTTTTATTTGGGTATATAAACTACAAGTATGTGTGAAAATTACAGTTGTATAATAAGTACAAAAAATAAGTTAAAAAGTAAGACACTGTGAAATGCTGTAAATAATATGTAACAGGATATGGAACAGAGTAGTATACATTAGCCAATCACATTGAAATGTGAGTCATTGCTCATAGCCAGTGACATGTGTCCAGAAATTCTCATAGAGCGCTCGCTGCCTGCCGAAGTGGATCTCGCTGTGTAACATACTCTATATTCAATTCAGCAAATCTCATGTGTCCTTCAGCAAAAACTATGTGTGATTCAGCAATTCTTATGTGACAATATTTTATCCTCATCCAACGAGGCCTGCGCGAATGCTTGGCTGCATTGACGTGGCCAAGTTGTTGAATGAACACCAACCAGACGAGTGCACGTCAAAAGAAAACATTCACACCGGAGCGAAAGGTGCACTAAGGGAGCTATGCCACGTGACCATGTGGAAGTCGTCAAGTCGCTTCGAACGACCCGACGGCTACCGATTTTAGTCACGGCTGTATAGAGAACGCTGTGAAAATAAATGCGATTTCAAGGTGGATTTGTGGTCATGCTACATGGAACGACGTTGAATAAAACCGCGCCAAATTAACTCACCGGATAACCAATCAAAATCCAGCGTTTCTAAGAATACGATTTCATTGACTGAAAACATTTGGCGGCAATTTCAAATAAATTGATGGCCATCAACCTCCACAAACCAATTGCCTTCCCAAATGGCTTCGGATGGTGTGCATATGCAGCCGAAAGGTGTTGTTCACCGTACGAGACCTATGATCGCACAGAAGTTGCACGCCGTGGCCATAGCCATTGATACGATTGTGAGCCATGCAGCCAATGTCCTCGGATACGGCGAACGCACCGTGCGACGTTAGGTTCAGCAGCAGACCATGCTCCAGCAGTCCCGCTCCAAGGCGCGCAAGCGCAACACTGGGAACAGCGGTGCGAAGGCAGTCATCCCCGATCCCCATCTGCGTGAATTGTGGGTTTTGACACCGATCACTGCGACAACCGCAGAGAGAAAGCGGATTGCTATGATCGATCGTGCAATCCGGGCATGGGACATGATTTCAGAAGACGAAGTGCGTGCAAGCTTTGTCAAGGCCTTACCAGAGGAGATTCAGATTTAACAATGTATGCCGTACAATCTGAATGGTTGTCAAGATTTTTTTGTTTTTTACTTGAAATTTGTATGTAATTTTTTGTACCTCTGCGGGGATTGAGCTCGGGGTCAATTGCAATGACTGGTACCCTTATTTTGACGAAAATGATATACGGACACACCGAAATCTTGTCAGTGAGCATTGCGCGGCTGCCTGTCATCTGTTCTAAAGGGGGAAATTGGGGGGGAGTATAGAGACTCTATGGCTGGAGACCATTGACCCAATCCGTATATTTTTATTGATTTATACTAATGTAAGTATGATTGATCGGTATGAATATCAGTTGGCATGCAAGTGTGTAACGTAAACGCAGTGACGTGATGGAAGTTCGCGATTTTCCTCTATGACTCAGTCCCTTTGTAAATACAACTTAATTCTCGTCGATTCAGGAGTCCGTTACCTTATTCAACTGTACAATATAATATTTCATTTTAATGTTTCTGTGTCAAAACGTTTTTGATGATAGGTGCACCGTAACGCCATTGGTCAATTCGAACTGTGCGACTTGCTTGCGACTTGGGGGCGATGGCTGTTTGTGTAAGAGCGACTTGCGAACAAGATGGTAAATCGGAAAGTGATTATGGAGTGCTTAGCTAATGAACTACTTCAACGCATACATCCTGTTGCTCTCTTCTTCCTACGCACTTGAAGGTAACCTAGCACCAATGCCCTTGATGGTCGCTACATCTTCGTCTTTAGTGCAATGATGTAAGTGTGCAATGCTCTCTGTGATGAACAACGTCATCCAGGGTTCAACTTGCGGTATTCAGATGATTCAGTTTCCATCAACATACTGCGTAGCGATCCACGGCGCCAGGCACGCATCCACGTGTCGGAGGCCCCGGACCACCGCCGCCAACTTGGTAGCGTCTGCGAGCTTGATTTGCGACACGTACAGTGGCGGCATGGATACCCCCACGGCAGTGGCCAACACGGAGCTGTAGTTGGCATCGTCGACGAAGATGTGGTCGTCGAGTGCAATTGAATTGGCCTCGGGACGCAGCACCGAACCGAACTTCAACGTCAGAAGCGCGGGAGACCCCGTTTTTATCACACACTAAATAACGAAATACACACAAACTTTCACGAAAACCACATAGAAAACACATGGGCTTCCAGCACCAGTATTCGTTGGGGATGATCCCAAGGGAGTAATATCATGTGTTTGTTTACGATACTGGCGTGTCATCAGGTACCCGTATGGTCAGTCACACACATGGTTAATTGAGTTTTGGGGCTCTGAGTAACTGTACAGTACCGGTAAGTTCAAAGATATAGTACTACTATGGACTGATAGTACTACTAGAATTAATGTGCACTGAATT